TTTTTTATTGTATGTGTATTGATACTTTGACTGCATGCCTGTCCATGCACCATGTGTGTGCCTGGTAGCTGCAGAGGCTAGAAGAGGCATTGAATCCCCTGGGACTGGAGCTGTGGACAGTTGAGAGCTGCTGTGTGGGTGGGTGCTGGGAATTGAACCCAGATCTTCTGCAAGAGGAGCCAGTGCACCTAACTGCCACGCCATCTCTCCAGTCCTTAAAAAGTGTTTTAAAGGAAATATTTCCTAAGAGAAGAAACTATTAGGTTGGAGATAAAAGTTTTATTTCTGAAACTGTTGGGTAACTTGTTTAATCTCCCTGGATCCTCATTTCTTCAGCCATATGTTTAACACATGAGTTACTGTGGTGGTGGGGAACAAACCTGGTATGTTCCTTACTGCTTTTTCAAGATGTGCATGTGATACTCATGCAGTCTGCAGTGTGTAACTGTTAAGTTACTTGTAGTGTGACGCTTACATCGTATTCCTATACACAGTTATCGTAGCTCACGAATCTTTTCTGTTACAGAAACCACTTGACTATAAATACAGATATTTTCGTCGTGTTCCTGTGCAAGAAGCAGATCATAGTTTTCATGTGGGGCTGCAGCTGTGTTCCAGTGGCCACCAGAGGTTCAACAAACTCATCTGGATCCATCACTCTTGTCACATCACTTACAAGTAGGTGAATGCAGTACAGGATGCCGAGATTAGGGGCTGGAGAGATGGCTCAGCAGTTAAGGCCACTGCTGATTCCCCAAGGACCCAAATTCAGTCCTCAGCACCCATATGGCAGTTTATAGCTGTCTGTAATTTCATTCCCAGGGGATCTGATGCCTTCTTCTGACCTCCACTGGTGCAAGACACACATGTGGTATACAACATATGCAGGCAAAATAACCATACACATAAGAGAACATTTTAAAATAAAGTAAAAAAAAATGACAAGACTACCATAAAGTATACTTTATATCCAGCTTGAGAAGCTTGATATGTTTGGATTTCTTCAGTATCTTGTTACAAAGTAAAAACCACAGTGTAAAACTATATGAACCAGAAAAGCAAACACACAGACCAAAAAGAGGCTCAAAGGTAAAAAGTGGACCGTGAGTGAGGAAATAGAGCCCTGCCTCTCCTTCCCAGTCAGTATTACCACTTCAGAAGTGAGAGTCTGAAGGACCAAGCATGAGTACTCACACCTACTCAGTAAGGACGGGACATTCCATCAGCAGAACTCAGGTCTCTGAAGGCTGTGAACGAGATGCTTATTCATGGACACACTCTAGGCACTTTTCAAAAGGGTATTTTCCACAGATGGTGAATGATTTTAAAAATTATACTTAGAAAATTATGTCTGTTTTTAAAATGGTGCTCAGTGTAACCAGTGCCAAATGGCTTGGGTAGATGATTCCTGTTTAAAACTCTTAATTCTGTGAGAACAGGTTTAGTCTGATTAGGTAATTATTTAAGACTATCAAAAAGGAGCAGTACAGAAATAAGAAAAACTTTAGAAGACAGCAGAGAGGTGAAATACCAGGTCATGTGACTGCCCGAGTTAACGGTGGCGGGCTTGAAAGAAGATTGATGTTCTGGGGCTCTCCATGCAGGTTGAATCCAGAATTCTGAGAGAGAAGTTTTGAGGTAGGCTCCCATTAATGTGTTCTGTGGTCTTGACCATGCAAGGTCAATGTTCTCCATCCTATGGCCACCTTGTGAATGACTTCGGTGCTCATTTGGAGGCTCCGCCCACCAAGATGGGCAGAGTGTCCCTCACATTCCAATCTTTCCCTTCTCGATTCAGTCTGTGAACTGATGCAGATGGTTTCCTACCTTTCAAAGTAAACCCCATAAGTAGAGGGAAGCCAGGAAGTGGTTACCACAGTTTATACTTGCCCCAGTAGGAAGTGAGAACCCCTCTTCAGGAGGGAAGTGCTTTGTAACTGCTTGTGACCACAATCTTGTAATAGTCAAAGGTCACTTGATTTTCTGCCTCAGTTGATTTCTCTTCGGGGTGTATAATGTGGCTGTGACAACATATTAGTGGCCCTGAGCATGCGCACACTTAGGATTTTGCCGTTGATCCAATACTAAGTCATTCTGTTGTGATAATAGGATTTCTTTTGAAACAGTTTAACAAGGGCTGCAGATTTGTCTGTGGCCTTTGACTTGGAAATTCTCTTAGGAATGTGTAGAGGGTCATAATACACATTACTTTAGTTGCCAAATATCAAGCAATCTCACTTTCTAAAAGAATAATTATTTAGTAAGTTATGATACAAGCAGGTGTTGTTGTGCAGCCAATAAGAATGGTTTCTGGAGGAAGTTCTTAAATGTTTTACAATGTGCCTCCATTGTTTAGACTTTAAACTCACCCTGTACAAGCATGCAGGGGTTTCAGATAAATTGGGATTTCCTCATTTGGCGGTTTTGTATTTGTTTCTAGATCAACTGGAGAGACTGCAGTCAGCGCTTTTGAGATCGACAAGATGTACACCCCCTTGTTCTTCGCCAGAGTCAGGAGCTACACTGCCTTCTCTGAAAGGCCTCTGTAGAGCCTCGCCAGCACGCCACTGCTGCATGAGCAGAAGCAGAGCGTGCCCGAATGCCTAAGTTAAATGTACATACATGGAGTTGGAACTTATCTTAAGTTGTTGGAATTCCTTTACGAAGAGTATAAATTATTTTTTTTATTTAAAGGGGTAGTTGATTCCTGGGGTAATTTGTTTTGAAATTAGAAGTTGTTAAGTACACTTATGTTGTAGTAAACCTAAAAGTGGGGTTTAAATCATGTTTTCAAGCAGGTTTCTGAGCAGATCTGTCACGTATGCTGCCTTGTGCCTGAACATCCTCATCCTCACGTATGTCAGGGAGCACACTGGATAGTATTTATTCCCGCATGACATAGTGTCTTCGCATCAGACTCAAAATGTAAAACCTGTTCTGGATTTGTTTGAAACTGTTCAATAAAGATCATCAATAAATGTGTCTTTCAAGGAGATACACGTGGATGGCCTTTAAAGATGTGAGAGTACAGCTGGGCGGTGTGGTAGCCCAGGCCTTTAATCCCAGCACTCGGGAGGCAGAGCCAGGTGGATCTCTGTGAGTTCGAGGCCAGCCTGGGCTACCAAGTGAGTTCCAGGAAAGGCGCAAAGCTACACAGAGAAACCCTGTCTTGAAAAACCAAAAAAAAAAAAAAAAAAAAAAGATGTGAGAGTACTTAATAAACAGTCCTGGGACAGCCAGCAGGGCCTGAGAGTCACTGCCCAGTCACATTTAACCCCAGACCTTGGGGACTCTAATCTCAACCATGAGACCTACAAACGTGTAAGTGGCAGACTGTGACTCTTCCTCAGGCCTGGAATCAGCAAGCTCAACCAACTGACTCTAGGGTCCTTCTTCATAAATGACCATTTGACCGTCATTAAATCACGTACTGGGGAAATAAAGGGGCAAATATGGTCAGAGAGGAGAAATAAGATGCATGAACGAAACAGGAACAGCAGATTATAAAAAAGGAAGAAAACTTGGGAAGATTTTAAAAAAAAATTGTTATTAAATAATTGATTCTGGGAATTTCATATCATGCACCCCCCCCAATTCCACTCACCTCCCTGTCTCCCCACATTCTCCCCACACCCCTGCAGTGCCCCCTAAAACAAAACAAACAAACAAAAAAAAGCAAGCAAACAAACAAAAACAAGAACAGAACAAATAAACCCTCTTCGCTTCTCCATCTTTCCCACACCTCCTCCTTCGTCCTGGTGGCGTCGGGAGCTGTGGGGTGTCACACAGTATACCCCTTTGTCCCATCAGCTTTACTGGCAAATGTTCATTGCAGTGAGTCACTGGTCTGGTTCAAGGCCTCTGGTTTCTGGTTCACTATCATCACTGGATCCTCATCGGAACTCCTCTGGGATATCCTGCAGCCACCCAGAGTCATGGAGGTCCTGCTGGTATTGTTCAGCAGGACCAGTCGGTTCATGAGCTCCAGCGGGTCCTAGATGGGGTAGATGTTAGGGTGGCACAACCCAAGGGCCTGGGTGGTAGCTGAGGTGGTCAGTCCAGGCCACCGGGGCTACCCCGAGGTGAGGAGGCGGAGCCAGCTCCCCTACACCCATGTCATCAGGGTCAGTTCTGCCACCTCTCCCAAGAGCAGGGGTCAGCTCTCTTGCTGCAGTGTCTGAGAGGCAGGGCCAGCTTTCTCTGGGTCAGCGAAGGGTAGGCCTGGCTCAGGATGGACCTCTGATTTCATCACCCATGGTTCCTAGGGCCCCCTGAGGTGATACAGGCCACAGACTGCAGCTGGACCATGGACCCAGACATGACCGTTGGCAGCAGCTTGGGCCCAGATGACATCCTGGCTCTGGGTGGAAGTGCTGGTCACTCCGATTGGGATGGGTCTGGTAGCAGTGTGGCCTCCAAACCACACCAAGACCTCAGGTTGCGGCCCTAACCCTGGGTTCTGTGCAACCTTTGGTGGCCATATGGGGCCTGGACTTCAGCAGAGACCCCAGTCACAGTAGGACCATGAACCCAGACATGGTCTTCTGCAACAGCTGGATCTGGATGTCACCATTGTCCCAGGTGGCAGTGCAGGCCACTCAGATCAGCATGGCCCCAGATCTGAGGCATCTTCATGGCCTTTGATGGTGACAGGAGCCTCAGACATCAACACAGACCCTGGCTGCAGCAGGGCCCTGGACCCAGACATGGCCCTCAGCTGCAGCTCTGGCCTGGATAGCACCATGGCATTGGGTAGCAGGGAAGGCCACTCAGATCTGCATGGCCCTGGCTGCATCATGGCCCTAGGTAACTAACATGGACTCAGGTGGCTGACCTGTCCCTGGGCATCCATACAGCTGTCAGTGGCAGCAGGAGTCACATATGGGAAGACAGGTTTTTTTAGACATGACAAATACGACTGATTTTTAAATTTCAGATGAAACACGAGATGTCAAAGCTAAAAGTAACCTTAGACATTGTTAATTGGCTAACTATCCTCATGAAGGTAGTGAGGAAATATGTTATTTTTAAATTTTATTATTTATTATTATTATTATTATTATTATTATTATTATTATTATTGAGACACTGTCTCATCATGTATCTCTGGCTATCTTGGAACTCACGTACACCAGGCTGGCCTGGAACCCACAAAGATCCACCTGCCTCTGCCTCCCGAGTGCTGAGATTTTTTTTATTTTTTGAGATTATAATTACTTCATTTTTCCTTCCCTTTCCCCACTTCAAAGCCTCCCATAGACCCCCCTTCTTGCTCTCTTTCAAATTCATGGCCTCTTTCTGAAATCACTTATTGTTATATACATTTCTTTTCTCCCCACCCTTTCCCTCTCATCCATAAGCGCAGCCTGCTCCGACTGTCTAATGTTACTGCTGTGTGTGTTTTTCGGGCTGACTGCTTGGTGTCCAGTAACCAATTGGAGTGCTCTTCCTTGGGGAAGACTGTTTCTCCTGGGCCCAGCATTTCTTAGTTGCCTGCAGTTCTTTGTGTGGATTTGACGTTTCCTGGGCTTCCCGTCATCCATGTGAGCATGTCTATGGTTGTCACCGTTGTCCAGCGGACATTTAGGCAGTTGTGTTGGTGGGACTTCATGAGTGCAGCTTCTGACATTATTAGGAGACAGTCTCATAGCAAACTCCCTGTTCCTCTGACTCCTACAGTTCTTCTACCTCCTCTTCCCCAGTGTCCCCTGAGCCTTGGGTGTGCAAGTGTTGTGTGGGTGTATCCACTGGGACTGGGCCAGTTGCAGCTCAAGAGGAATGCTGTCACAGGGTCTCACTATGTAGTCTGGCTGGCCTGGAACTCACAGAGATCCTCCTGCCTCTGGTGGGATTAAAGGTGTGTACACCTAGCCAATTCCTTTAAAACCTTGATTCCAGTGTCTTGGGAAAATAACCACTAAGAAATCGTAAAAGTCTCCTGGCAAATAGAGTAAAGTGTGTTTTTGCCTCTAGGTGTCCCTCTTATCCCAAGTTTTCAATATCCCTTCATGGTGTTGACCAGAGCATGTGTTTGTCAGACTAAAGAACGGTCCTGAGGAAATTTCATCAGCATCAAAGCTTCTGACTTAGAGTCTCTATTGCTGTGATTTAAAAACAAAAACAAAAAACACGACTAAAGCTTCTTGGAAAGGATTATTTTACCTTCCAGCTCTCAGGTCACACTCCATCACTGAGGGAAATCAGGGTAGGAACCTGGAGGCAGAAGCTGATGATGTAGGGGCCATGGAGGGGTGCTGTTCACTGGCTTGCTCCTCATTGCTCAAACTGCTTTCTTATGGCACCCAGGACCACCAGTCCTGGTGCAAGGACAGGGCCCTCCCACATCAATCACTAATTAAGAAAATGCACTACAGTCAACCTTTCATCAGATGCAGCCTTGGAATGGAGGCTTCTTTTTTCTTGTTCCTACTATTATTCTTTTTCTAGCATACGAGAGTACAGTAAGTACCAGGAAGCCCTGTTCACTTCCTCCGTGTTCCTGTGAAGCTGCTTCGTAGGAGCCTCGGTATCTCTCTCGCTGCTGTGACTCCAGGGGCCTTGGGAACATGCACAACTGAGCTGTCAGGATTGGCTAGCCCATTTCCATCCAAGTCCCCATGCCAGTTTCTGCTTTTCTCATACTGTTTCTGATGTCAGTCTGATTCCTTGATATCTGGCTTGGACCATTTCAGGCTTCAGACATGGGAAGACAAATCTTCTTATAGATTCTTTGGTGCTGCTGTCTCTGAGATGACATGTTTTATAAAGAAACTAGAAATGATAGTTTCTCCCAGGCTTGGGCCAAATCCCATCCGTGTGGACAGTGCTGAGAAAAGTCTTCCCCTTGTCTTATGATTTATATTTTCCTTCTTTCTTTAATTTACTTTTTCTAAGACAGAGTTGCTGCCCAGGTAAGCCTCCAACTCAGTATGTGACTGAGGATAGGTAAACTCCAAGAAGACTTCACAAGTTTTCTAGTAGAAAGTGATCATTGAATCACTTGAATCACAGATCAGTGAATCTGAAAGAGGTTTCAGATTCAGGACCCACAGGGGACAGGCAGCAGCGCAGAGACAAAAGCCAGAAAAATAGATGAAGAAGCCTGTGATGCAGACGAAAACATCAGCCATGTGGGGAAATTTTCAGCAAGGAAATACAGATTTAAAAAAAAATGATATCAGTGATGGAAAATGTTGATAAATCAGAGGCAAACATCAACGGACTCGGCCAAGCAGTAGAAAGAACATGGAGGACAATGCCAGTGATGTATTACATACAAACATCATCAGGGGAAGAAAAAAACATGGCCGCAGCACCCAAGAACCCTGGGCTATATCAGGGTACCAAACCTAAGACTCCACCGAGTGCAAGGATAAATGCTAATGCATAGAGAGCCTGCTCAGTAAAGCTGTAGCAGAAAAATCCCCAAATCTAGAGAACGAACTAGATATTCAAACATAAGAGGCATTTAGGATCCTCTATAGGTGTGACCAGAGAGGTGACACCATATAACATATGGTAGTGAAGATGTCAAAAATGCAACCACACACACACACACACACACACACACACACACACACACACACACACACACACAGTTGTAAGGGGAAGAAGATGAACAATCTTCCAGGCATTGGCCAGAGTCTCCAGGGAATCATCCAGAGAAGGCTGGAATACAGTTATCTTTTGAAAAGCAATGGTCACTAAATGGTTCCAGACTCCTGAGAGATGCACTGCTCTATGTTACCCGATAGCACATCTTTACCCCAATGCCCTCATCTCCCCAAGTCTTTCTCCCTACCGTCCACCTCCTATTTATGATCCCTTCCTCTACATTCCCCTATCCCATACTACTACTTACTAGAATTACTGTTTTTTTCTTCTCACTCTTCTCCCCCAAGCCTTACTTGTACCCACAATATTACCTAATTAATATTACCTAATAACTAATGTTACCACCCACAGTGCTGTCGATGTCCCTTTACTCCTGAAATG